TAGAATCTTCACATGCACATAAACCAGGTGGAATGAACACAACATCACTCTGCACCATAGAAAAAGTGAGGAGGAACCGTTTAAGGAGGACTCAGTAATGACAAGGAATAACTAGCATGTTTACAATGGGCACTGCACTAGTTCAGGATCAAACAAGACAGACATTTTTAGAATGCAGAGATTAAAACACAAACATTTGAGAAATGTCATTAAAGTGTATAGGTGATGTGTGAAAGTGCTGCCCCGTAGATGCACTGTATGAATGTGTGTGTGAAAGATAAAACTGTACTGTAAAGAGCTTTGGTCATTATATAGATACAGACTATTTAAATAGTGTCACATACTGTAGACTTATTGAGTGACATTTGCAGAGCAGGTATTGTGACAGCATTTGTTATGCCCACTGAGCCACCAACATCAGTATTTTCCCATGAGATTGAAACCATCAATATGAATCTAAAATACACTTTGATTGCAGATTTAATCAGTCTAGAAGTCCATTAGTATAATAAGATTCAGCACTTCATAACCCATGTACAATTTTCTTTAATCACAGTAGATTATGTTCATATTAATTGTGATAATGACGTCTCTTTGCTGCTGCGTTTGATTAGTCACTTGCCAAGTCTGACAGAATAATTTTCTTTTAAGCCTGACATCAATACTAATTTCAGAGTAATTTACTAAAAACGTTATCCATGTAGCCTTGTCTGCCGGCAACTAATTTGTCTTCATCATCTGACTTGTGATAGAATTTAATTTATGTACATTCACTGGTAAAGAAATTAGCCGCTAACACTATGATTTGTTTTTTTAGGTTGGCTGCAAGGCAGTGGTGGTCTTCTTCCAGTATGGCATCATGGCGAGTCATTTCTGGCTGCTGGTGGAGGGCCTCTACCTCCATGCCCTGTTAGCTGTCTCCTTCTTCTCGGAGAGAAAGTACTTTTGGTGGTACATCCTGATTGGGTGGGGTACGTGCTGGCGACCAGGCCATATGTCTATGAATAGAGATGGCTTGCACAAGCTCGTTTTCCAGGACATTCGATCCGGCAATTTGTCTGAAGTGGGAACCAGAGATCATCAAACTCAATCATCGGGCAACCTGAAAGTCTGTTGTGTCTCTTCTACAACAGCCACAACATACATGATCATATGTTAATGGGAGTGAGGTTTTTTACATGCAGTCGCTATGGGGGGAAATGCTGTGCCTTCCCATCTGCATATGAATGAGTCCTGCTGCCAGTTTTAGATGAGCAGCAGCAGGCAGATGCCACTCTGCTCTTGCTTTAATTCAGTCCTGCTGTGCTTCTGCTGCTTATAGCTCATTTAAATAATTTCTGTATTTATGGCAGACACACTGTCTGAATCAAACCGATCAAGCAATGTGGATTTGAACTTATACTTTCAGTCTAATGGTTGCTGAGGCAGCAAGGATGCTCCTTTGAGCTGTTGTTCCACTCACTACACCGCTGGCTTTTTGTAAGGGTTCACCATAACATGCATATATTTATACAGAATAATTGGCTGAGCTCTTTGGTGCATTCATCTTGTAACACTATTTCCATCCAACACATCTTTCAAATACTTCGTTTGGCCTTTTCTCCTAAAATTCCACTGCTGCTTGGCTTTGAAATGAACATTCAGCAATCTCTCCCTAATTTTGTGCTGCACTTTTTTTCCCATCGTACCAATAAAGTGACTATAAATAGGCCTGAGATGCTGCGTCTGACAGCAGTAAAATGGAAACAAGTGTGCAACTTCCCTGCAGATATCTTGCATGAGCCAATATTGGCACAGAGCAAATATGTCAGTGGCTCCAGTTAAAAATGATGAGCGTATCCAAAATGCAATTTCACTTTAAAGCAATAAAATCACCCGAAAGATTAACAGTGCACACACCACTCACTGTCATATTTGGTCATGTTTGTTTAAACACAGTGGACACAATTGATATTCTCTGTGACATTGAAATTATTATTTTAATGTTGAATTAATTTACAAATTGTCTTATCTTGTTTGTAGGGGCTCCAACTATCTTTATCTCGGCGTGGATGATTACAAAGGCATATTTAAACGATCCTGGGTGAGTTAATCATTTGTCTTTGCATTATCTTGTTGATAATAGTGAAATTACCAGCCTTCCTTTTATATTAAATGGGTTAATTTCAAAGCTTTCCACTGGCAGGAAGACAAATGACTGCAAATGGTGACTTCTTTGTTAAACTATTGATGAGGAGCACACAAATAAATGAGTGTTTCATGGCAAAGCTAAAATGCACTAACACCATATTTGTTTCAAATTATTTGAGGCAAAACTTCAAAAAGATATAGAATTAATACCTTCACCAAGGAGGTTATGTTTTCAAAAACTACTCAACTGATTTCCATAAGTTTTGTGTATGGATGGGACGTTTCTTAAACATGGCGAGATTAGCTGTTCGCCTTGGTGGAGATATGCACTCTCCGAGTGCCCTTCTACTTATAGAATGTTTAATTTCCCCTGGCTTTATAGTCACTCTAGAACCTACGAGACAATTAAGCAGTCATTTCATCATGTCATTCAATGTGGTTAGGCTACTTTGGAATCACATATATAAATGTAATTCTCCATTCATTTATTGACTAGCTGGTTAGTTCACAAACAACACAAGCAAAACAATTTATTTTGTCTGTGGACAAAGGCAGAGGTGTAGTGATTGTTGTTTGAGTAGCGGAGCACACCTAAGCACATGTATGCCGGTGCACAGTTAAGTTGTGGTGATGTACTGAGGCATATTACGGCTACAGCAGAAACCCTCGTTGGATTGGACTGCATGAACCACATTTCTCAGTTTGTGTCTGGATGTTTTGTCTGAACAAGCAAGTGTGTTGCTAAGAACAAAACACCCAGACACAAACTGAACAATGTAGTTTATGCTGAAAAGTTTTTTATAACAAGATATTTTCACCTTATTAAGCCACAGAAGAAACTAATATTATGTAACAAGAAGATCTTCTTGTAATAACTAAAATGTGCCTGTTATACACACACAAGTTTTTACTTTATTATCTAATAACATCCTATATTGGTTTATGATAAGATACATAATGAACATGGCTCCTTTTCATGTTCTGAAGACTCTGCTCTTAGTCAACATGATGGATGACTTTGTATATGTATATACTGTCTATAATAAGAACCTAGTCCTCTTATTAGTGATACTGAGAAGTCTGACTCCCTGGAGGAAGCATAATTTCTCAGTGGTCGGGAACAGACAGGTACATGGATAAAGTTAATCTACACCAGCTCAGCTTCATCCAGGCTGGGTATAATACATATATGATATGATATATATGATATATTATGTAGGTCCATGCATTAGAGCACAAAATGTCTCTATATTTGTTCAACATCTTAGGGATCTAGTTTCCATGTTAAGATTGTGTAGCTTGTATCCCTGGAAACTGTGCTGCTCCAGCTGATCATAGAGAAATGATGCTACCCCCAGCGGAATGCACTCATCCTGGTACAGCCAGGGGTTTGACTGGGAAAGAAATTAAGCCCAGGACTTATCCCTGTGCACGGGGGAGGGTGCATGAGTTAAGTTGGTGAAACAAGTGCAGCCCTGGCTCACGCATGCACAGATGCTCTCATGTGCACCTTAGATGACACAGATAGGGCCGTTAAAAAGACAGAGATTGGTGAAGGGAGAAGATTGAAGCAATGTTTTCATTGGTTGTCTTGTATGACACAGGAGACACATCTTAAACCAGCTGAAAAATATATATTCAGCTGCATTAGGAGTTCCATAACAACTCTATTTCCTTGGAGAAAGATTATTGTTCTGGTGGGCTCCATTAGCACTACACTTTTGCAAGTAATATTTTCTCTTATATAGCTTTGTAAGGATAAATGTGTTTTAAATGCATACAATTATGGTATTAAAACCTGTGTTACAGAGTTTGACTAAAGCTTAATAGCCTTAACTGATATTTTTTTCTCTCCTTTGCTGTGCAGTTTGAATTTTTTATGAGAAATAATTTATTCTAACCTTCTTGGTTAGAATCCCAGTCTGGGGGTCTTTTTGTGTGGAGTTTGCATGTTCTTCACATGTTTGCCTAGGTTTTCCCTGGTACTCTGGCTTCATCCCAAAGTTGACATGCAGATTGAACTGGAGAATCTAGGTGTGAATGATTGTCTCTGTATGTTGGCCTGGCGATGGGCTGGCAAACTGTTCATGGTGTACCCTGCCTTTTGCCTAATGTGAATGAGGATTGACTCCAGCTCCTCTGCGACCCTGAAAGGATAAGCGGTAAAGATAATGGATGGATGGATGGATGGAAACATTCATTCTGACTTTCTTATATCCTCTGACAGATGCTGGGAGACGATCGATGATGGTCCATGGTGGATCATCAAAACACCGATCTTAGTCACCATACTTGTGAGATTCTGCACCTCTACATATGTCACATTTCACATACAACTCTATGTAATGCAATCGCATTAACAGGCCTGTTACTGTCTTGGCAGGTGAACTTTTTCCTCTTCATTTGTATAATCCGGATTCTGCGTCAGAAGATGAATTGCCCCAACATCGGAAGAAAGGAATCAAACCAGTACTCGTAGGTGTTCACTGTCAAATGTCAACCTCTATTGGAGCATGGGATGTAGTAGAGTATACATTTTTGTAATGTTTGTGTCTGTCCTTATGTTACTACTGGTGAGCAATAATAGTGTAACCCCAAATGTATGGGAGTTTTAAGATGTGTAAACACACCTTGTCTGCACTCACTTCTACTTTTTTAGGAGACTGGCTAAATCCACACTGTTGTTGATTCCTCTCTTCGGGATCAACTTCATCATTTTTGCATTCATTCCAGAACACATCCACCCTCAAGTCAGGATGGTGTTCGATCTCATTCTGGGCTCCTTTCAGGTAACATTGCATGACAGCACACAAGGTGTTCGGCAGCTCCTTATCGTGTACTGCCCCAGATAGGAAGAAACAAAAGTTCAGTAATGAAATCAGGTCAAACAAATGGTTTGTGTAGCTGACATGTCTAATTCTGTACAGTTGAATAATGAGGTTGATGATTTAGAGAGTATTAAATTGGATGTAAATGTAAAGCCAAGCAAAAATGTGGAAACCTAGCGATGGAAAGTATATGATTTATAACTGTTGCAGCTCAGAATGAAATCTCCCGGGATAACTTCCCAGAGATTTAAATGATGAAGCTCCTGCCTGAGCCTAAAGCTGGTCATAATCTTACCGTCATTATTCATGCACAAACATTTTGAGTGTTTTCCCAGCCGTATCACTATCATGCTGGTATTTCTTTTCAACTGCACGGCTCTTATAGGACAATGCACTTTATCTGCTTCTCTCTTCAACAGGGATTTGTCGTTGCAGTTCTGTACTGCTTTATGAATGGAGAGGTGAGTAAATACAAACTTACAAGCAGACGTTTACTGTCCAAGCTAAATGTCATTATACCTCCCCACTCTCTCATACCCTTAGGTGAAAGGGATCTATTGGCAGACATTGAATATTAGATAAACCTAGTGATATTTTCACTAGTGTTTCATCTAAATTGTATGAATTGTTGTTTCCTTTACCTTAGAATGGGCCTTTATATTCAAATACATTTACATGTGGAGTAGGTCCTCTGTACGGAGGCAGCCATGTTTTTTACAGTAGCCCAGACTGGACAAACTAAACACCTTTGGAATTTTTATGACAACTGAAGGCTGCAACAGTTTCTTTGTCATGTTTGGAAGGGGAGGGTGAGGTGAGGGGTATTCAGCTGCAACATGCAACTTCACCACTAGATGTCCCTAAATTCTACACAGTGAACCTTTAACTCTTCCTCCTATTTGTTTACCTCTTCCTCGTCTCTCTCTTTCTCCTCTGCAGGTACAGTCGGAGATTAAGCGAAAGTGGCGTAGATGGATGCTGCAGAGGTTCCTGGGCGCTGACACCAAGTATCAGCAGCCCTCCATTGGCAGCAATGGCAACAACTTTAGCACCCAGATCACCATGTTTGCCAAATGCAGCCCCTCCACTCGCCGGGCATCCGCATGTCAGGAGCACCTGTCAACCATCTGAAAGTCCCTGTTTATTATACTTCCTCTTTCTCTCTCTCTCTGTTTCTTTCATTGTGTACTGAATGTGTGGCACACTGATGCAATGCAGTTGATATTGGTTGCTGAAAGTCAATATGACATTTTAGTGCTCAAGCTAATATTTGTTCATTGTAATTTGATCCATTGCCCGTCAGGGAAAAAAGAGGCAAGTGGTCAGTGTTTTTCTTGCTTGGGCAGAAAGAGGACATGAACAAGCATGGAAACACTCCATGTACTCAATGAATGGGATAAAAAATGTTTTTTATCTTAACATGGAGAAATAACAGCCAGAAAAACAACAACACTCATTTTCACAGTTTGGAGTTTAGGGAGCTTCAAGCATTGCTCTGGCAGGTAATATGATCTCTACAATAAAGGTCATTGTCACACTGATGTACTGCTGCGTTGAGGTAAAATGATGAGTCACCCTCTGCTGACTATTGACAAGTTGTTGAAAACCAATTGCCAGAATAACATGAACGAAGAGGAGAGGGGGGAAAAAGATCCTCATGATCACGATGTGAGTTAAAAGGAGGCAGGATTCCTGACCTGCATTTTCCATCTGATGTTAGGCAATAGATGGAGCCAGAGATGAGTTGAGTTCTATAAGAAACATGTATATGAAAAAGGGTTTGTTACACAAGAGGACTTCGAGCACTTAACCTAATGGACACGTTGCTTCTGGGAGCGGTGGTAACGAGTGTCAGGCTGTCAAAGAGTAGATACGGAGGAGGGATCTATAGCATAACCAGCACACTGGACACTCCTGTCCTATGTATGACAGTTTTACTCAGGGCGTACACTCTGATCTGAATTACTGCCGGATAACATTCCTAAGGAGGGACTGCAGCTCCTGCTTGTGAAATTTATCTCAGTTTACAGAGGCTTTTAGTTTTCGTCTGAGGGCTTGGTCGCTTAACAGACGTTAGTTTTTACTGGTTCTGAAACTAATGGACCAGATGTATTTCATTATAAGTCCACAATACACCACGTTAGGAATTAATATGTGGCAACAATGATTAATTTCCATTAATGGGAATGCAAGGGCAATTCATTTACTTGGAATGATATGTAGTATTCTGTTCTGTTCTAGTCTGTACTGGTCTAGTCTTTTTGGTTCTCTTCCATTCTGTTCTAGTGTGTTCCGTGCTATTCTTTTCTAGTCTATTTTTTATTTTATTCTGTTCTATACTAGTCTATTCATCCCAGTCTATTCTATTACAGTCTAGTCTATTCTGTTCCAGAGTAATTTAGTCTGTTGTCGTCTGTTCTGTTCTGCTCTAGTCGTGTCTGTTCTATTTGGAAAGGTTAAATATGTACAGTATGTAGTATTGTTTTATTTCTAGTAACTTTAACTTCATACAGTAAGTTGTATTGTATTTTTTTTATTCCAGCAGTGTTACATTATTGATGTCCTGCTCAATTGGTTGCTACATTACTTTAGTCGAGACTGAATCGTCTCAACAACTGTTGGGTAGTTTGCCCAGAAATGTTTGTTCAGACGTTGATGATTCAGACGAGATGAATCTTAAAGACTTGATTCCCCTGACTTTCCCCCTGAGGTTCATAAGTTCTCATTTGTGATTTTAAGTGAAACATCTACTGGATAGATCACCATAAATATTTAGTTCAGTTTGATTAATGTTTTTATTTAGCGCCATCAGGTTCACTCTCAAATCTCAAGACATCCCCATCAGCCTCAGCTGTACTTTATGTGTAGTGCTAATTAGCATGCTAACATGCATGGTGGTGAACAGGGTGGACATAAGCTATCATAACACAAACCCCTTTATACACAGGCCTACGTTTAAAGCCACCTAATTAGATTAGACAATTTTCCCGTTCAAGTAGCAACAGTGTTGAACATTAACTTGAAGTTCCACCTTGTTCTTGTTTTGCAGTTGTGTGTAGAACTGAAACTAACTGAAAGTACCTCAGACTTAATGTCACACACAGCTTTTGTATATGAGACTGTAGATAGGCCTCATGAGTTGGTTTATGATGTCTTTTATGTTGATGACTTGTAGTGCTCAGGTATCAACTGGAAATTGATGTTTACATTTAACCGTGAGTTTCTCCCTCGTTGCTATTGTTATTTCAGTGAAGTTTATATCTTATTTGTGGAGTTGTAAATGTTGTGTACATATTATGTACTGTACAGTGGAATCAACTGTAAATATGTTGTACAAAATGTCAGATGAAGGTGAATAAAACCTTTTGCAATGTGAAAGCAACAGAATCAACGTATCTTCATTTCAGCTTCAATAAAGCAAATGGGTATTAAAGACAATTTAGGAAACAATATAACAAAAACAGATGTACAAATCAACAGCTTTTTATAAAAGAAATTTTGTAATATTCTTACTTTCCTTTCTCCTCCACTACTTAGACTTGTATCTGTCTCCCCCTGCTGCAAATCATCAGATAAAACAACTTTTCAAAACACTTTCTCATTTTCAGAGACCACATTTCCTGTGCCCTAATATAATGTCCGTACTGAGTGTATTCATTCACTTCAACGCTGATGTTACATCATCAATAGTGGTGACAGTTGGACTCAGTTATAACTTGGAGAGACGCAGAGTGTTGAGACGCACTGGAAGAATTGTGGATCCCTCTGCATAGCTCACCTCTCGTAAAATGCCAGTCCAGCACTTGTCTGCCTTATCATATCTGTGGGAGAGATACATGTGTTAGTGTCTGGTCCTTTTTGTCATTGCACCATCAATACTAAATTAAGAAATGGAAAAGTATACAAAATGTAACTTCAGCAGTCCAGATATATAACTGTCTCCTTTTGAGATACATTGTTTTCAATACATAGAGTAGTTATATAGAAAAACTATTTTTTTCATGGCAGAGACTTGGATAAAAGGAAAGGCATAATAATCCTGATGTTTCAGTTCCACTTAGGTTTGACAGTTTTATTTGACTGTGGGACAACATGCCCAATAATAATATTGGTATGCAGCCATTACCATAATGTGTTATAGGAGAGGTTTGGTTTCTTCCTAACTGTCAACAATGAACATAAAAAAACAAACATTGCTTTACTATGTCTCCAACACATTACTTTGTCTTTGGCACTCAGACCCATACCCAGATGGTACCACTATATTTATAAATCTGTTTTATTTTCTAAAAGGACTCAAAGGTGACTGTGGTTTTAGCAAACATTAATTGAACAATGTATTTTTTGTGGAATTCAGCTTTGTATTAATACAGATTTGACACTCAAATGAATATTAAAAGAGGTGGAGCTCTGTGGTACAGGTGCAAGAGATTTGGGGATTCGACAATACAGACAATGTTGGATTAATTAATAGTTGGTTTGAACCTTGTGATCTGATTTCCTGAAAAACAGAATATCTCAATGAATAGCTTGAGGTGAAGAAGGCCAATTAAAGTTTATGAAATGATGGTCTCATCTCAAACTAAGTGTGGGATCAGATTTTTTGTTTCTGTTTTCAAATTAGTTTGATCCAAAACTTCTTACAAGCCAAGTGTCACTTATAATAGCTGAGAGTTCACCACATCCTGGTTATGATTAACAATAGAAAATAGAAAATAATGAAGGACAACACAGTAAAAATGGTTCATGCACCTTTAAAAAGTCTGCCAACAACTATATTATGATGTGATTTTTATTAAATGTTCAAATAATGTTTGTAAATGTAAAATACATGGACTGAATTACAATGTTACTGTCATGGTACTGTAGTGGACTGTTACCTCCAGATGTCTGTCATCTCTGTTGGGACAGGCTCCTCACTGGTTTCACTTGGCATCATGGCAAAGCCCCCCAACGCGTACAGGTAGCCTCCCGATGAGATTAGATTAAGAGAGCTGCGCTGCTGAGGGAACTCTGTAAACTCAGACCACCTGGAGCACAATTGGACAATAACCACACACACAGAAGTGATGGTGTTAAATAAGCTGCTATATAACAGAATGATACCCAGAGCAGGACAATGAGTGGGATTTTATGACCTAATGATCTGCTGTTCTCGCTCTGTGAGTCATTTCACCAATGTGGACAGATGCACCTCATAACCATGAGATAAAGTGGGTCATATAAAAAAACTGTTGTCTCACTTGTTGCTGGCGATGTCATAGACCTCTGCAGAGCAGGTGAGGCCTGCGTCTGTGACCCCTGTCACCACGTAGATCTGCTCTTTGTGGATGGTGATACCAAACAGAGAGCGGGCCGTCGTCATCGGAGCCAGGTCCTTCCACTCAAACTTTTTGGGGTTGTAGACGCAGACTCTTCTTAGGCATTTCCTGCATAAAAACATGCAATACAATGTGTGAAAGGGGCAAACTTTAAATGAATTTTAGTTGAAACTTTAATTATCTGATGATGTTGCATTGTGCTTCTGGTGAGTCAGCCACACACACAGGGCAAAAATTCTGCTGCTTTGATTTAAAAATTCAACTTTTTCTTTTTTGATCTATCAATTGTGATTCCTGAACTTCACAGAAGGATCATGCTTATTGGTTTAGTTTCAAAATTGATACTGTTACATAGTGAATAATAGAATCAGATTGGAACCAATTCTGGAGCTTATTGGCCATAGTGAACATGGTGTGATTAAACTCTAAAATAACAGATTTTAAGTTGTAGACAATCAGGATTGCCACATACTTGCTTTCAGACTTTCCTCCAATAACGTAGACGAGACCATTGTGTGATACAGTCCCATGGCCGTATACTTGATAAGGCAGAGGGTCTGATTCACCCCATTTGAATGACCTGTGTAGAAAAGCATGTAAATACATAAAAATGAACCAATACTAACTATTTGACTGACAAGACAGACTTGATTAATTATCAATATGACATATTTCCAATTGATCGGACACTGAATTGAGTGGGACCGTACTTACTGTCTGTCATAGATCATGACTGAATCCAGGGCATGCTCGCCTTCTTTCAACTCCCTCCCACCCACAACAAAGATGGAGTTCTCAGCTTCTGTCAGTCCAAACAGGCAGCGAGGGTTTGGTTGTGAGGGCATCCCTAACCACTCTGAACTCACCGGGTCAAACTGAGGATGAAGAGAACAGGTAGTGAAACACACATGATACCCACAAAAGAAGTTGTAAGAAAAGCTCCTTGCTTTCAGATCATAGAGTTAATGGTGGACTTTGTGATTGATACTCCACCTGCAGGAAGTAAGAACTGAACGGTTCATCTTTATCCTCCTCGTTGTAGAGAAGTCCTCCAACAACAAACACCTGGTTCTGCTTAGTCACCAAGCTGCAGTGGTTTTTGGGAATATCTGTTGATTCTGATGCCACAAAGCATTCGTTCCCTACTGGGTCATAGGCCACAGTCCCTGTGTTGTTGATCATGAGTATCAATTCCATCTCAAACATCCCAAAGCGTGGATTGTTGTTGAGTATACCAGGCAGATACCCTTCCTCATCCTCCTCCTCACCCTCACTTCCTTCTCCCCCCTTTGCCCCATCACTGCTGGGCTTCCTGGGCTTTGGGAGATGCCCTCTGTGAGCATCTTTGACGAGATCCAGCTCTTTCTTGATCTCCTGGCTGAACCGGATGTACTGGTGGCACTCAACTTTCTCTTTGAAGTAATCCAAAGATATGAGCCTAAAACGGATGCACTGCAGCAGATCTGGCAGGTCCTTGACACGGTTTGTCTCGTCATGTCTTACCCAGTCCATCAGGGATTCAAACACCAGCTCCTCCCGCTCAACATTAAGGGAGTCTGAGGTGATGATGATGGCCAGCTCACTTGGACCCAGCTGCAGGAAGTCCTGGTCTCTGACGACGACCTGGTAACGTTCACAGATAAACTCTTGAGCGCCGACAGTGAGCCGGGGACAGTCCAGCAGCAGCCCCAGTCTGAAGATGGCCAAGCAGTTTCCCAGCACCAGCTTCTCTTGAAGGTAGGAGACACATACGGAGAAGATAGAGGGGATCTGGTACATGTTGGCCACCATGAAGATATCCTGGACATTCTGCTCTGTCAGACTAATGTCTGAGGTGTATAAGTAGCGCAGGATCATCCCCATAACACCTGGCTCCACATCTTTAAGGACAATCTCTCGTTTCTTGCTCTCCTCCAGGTCAGACAGGAACATGGCCTTGAAGAAGGGGCTGCTGGCTGCCAGAACCAAGCGGTGGCAGGGGAACTCCTTGTCCTGGATTTTGAGGATACAGTCCACAAACTTATCATTTTCCAGCAGGTCGCACAGTCCATCCTGAAGGAGGGTCTGTTGGTACATCCGAGGCTGCTCCACCGGGTCTATGGTTGTGGCAGCCATTTTGTTCTGACGCCTGGTCCTGGTTGGGTTTGTGGGCACCCTACTCAACTCCCCACAACAGAGCAGGACTGTCAGCCTGTCACGGGGCTGCTCAGATCGCTGTGGATAGCTTCCACGGGTTGGTAGGCTGCTGGCTGCAGCTGTCTGTGGCTGTCAGTCATTCGGTAAGTCACGGGTATTTATAGACAGGACCCTCACAAAGCTGCGGAATCCATTTTGGTGGACTGCGTCACACAGACCCCCACAAACAGCTGAATGACTAAGCATGGGGGTGATGGCATGTTAAATCCAGTGGAACAACTCACCAGGAAGCCTCACTAGATCTACTTTGACATTTTGACACATTTTTTCCAAGTTGTTTATTTCCATGCACCCCTCTGTATATACTTTTTCTACCCATCACTCTAGTTCTTCAAAGACTAACATGTTAATAAACCTCCCCAGACTTTGGAAAGTCTCAGGTTGAACACGGAAGCAAAACTTAACTATGCTGCTCTACTCAGCTACTTAACTACTTAACTGTCCTCGGGTTACAAACAGAATATATACTTTACAATTTAAAACACATCTGTGTTGATATGATGTTTTATATGATCAAATTTTAACCATTGGTCACTCTTAAGTTCACACCTTTGTCTTGATTTTTATTTGGTGTTTTCCTTTCTCCACTTTAATTATTTGGGTGTTTTTTTGAGATATATTGTCAATAAATAAAATGTATTCATATTATTGTTATATATTGATTTTCTTGTGACAGATGATTAACACACCATATAGGCTACAGTTATTTCAGCTTTGCACAGTTGTCCCTTTACCTTTACATTTTGTATGAATCAAAAACTATCTCAACAAACAGACCAATTTAAATGAATGTGGCCAACAGAGTAAAGTAGAAAATAAACACTGACTCATATCATTATATAAATAGTGATGTGACAAAAAACACCAGCTTACATCAGTCAGTTTTGTGACTCATAAATCCAGGGATAACAAACACTGACACCTACCTCCTGAAAATATTTTTAGATTTTAAAAAATGAAAACTCTTGTGTGTGTTGTTGGACCTCTTATATGTTTTTAACCATCATAATGTGATCACATGGGTATTGATAGCAGCCATTGACCACCTTTGGTCAAACTGGGCCATCTTGTGGTGATAGATGATAATGTCTTGCTATCAAAACGCTTCATCAATTTCCTTCTATTTAAAAAAATAAAATTGTGAATGTTTTAATGCAGTAGCCTTCCAAGCAAATATCAATACATCTATTTTGATTTCCTTTACATACTGTGCCAAAAGAAAATCACACGTGAGGTGTCACTTCTGGATTAAAAACAAAACTTTATTCCGAGTCAAACCTTTGAAATAACCATTGTTCAATAAAATCCCTAAAATGAGAAAAGGTTATACAATCTGCATGAATTCATTCCCTGTGAACCGCTGCTCTGAAGACACTCAGCAAGTTTTAAATACAGGCAGAATAAGACTGACCCATGTTCCCTGCTGGGCCTGTTGTCTTTCATGTGTGAACTGACGACCTGGATCATGTGAGAATACAAATCCCGACATGTCGCACACACTAGATGACATGTAAACTGTTGTTCTCTGGATAATTTTGAACTACATAAAATTTTTCAACGCACTGAGAACTTTGATACATACTAAACGTTAAAATAGACTATCCCACACACCGTGATTGTATTTTTGCTTTAGTGACAGAAGAGCAAATATACTTTCAACTGCAAACAATGTGGAGGATCTCCACAGTACCCTTTTATTTTCTGCATTGCACTCATTCATGACACCAGGGTGTCAAGTTTGTTCAAGTTTTTAACCCTTTAAGTGCGGTTAAATATTCTGAGGATTAGGATCTAAGGCATCTAAAGGAAAACTGAGAAACCATCTGACTAAAATTAATCATGTTGAGGAGGATTAAAAAAAAAAATCTAGAATTAACTCAGGAGACAACCACACAGAGCATAGTAGTTGTTCCTCAACCTGAACTATTTGGTATACGTTGCATCGTACAATATTTGGAAGGCCTGTCATTTGCTAAACAATCTTTTGTTTGGATAAAATACAAATGCAAAAATGCACCTTCGGTGGGTTTGTGCCAGAGGACATGACGACTATCTACAGCAAGTGCACTTATATATTAGATATTTCACAGTTAGAAACTTTGCCTCGCTTCTGACGAACCAGCATGAAATGCAGGCTTGTGACCCAAGTAGGTGCTGACCGGCTGTTCCATTCTGTTTCTATTACAGTACACAAGGCCAAGGATGGAAGAATGTGAGGGGGCTGTTGACCATGAAGTCTGTGAAACTCTGGTTTCTCTCGTTCGTTTAATCTGCTTTCTCTTTGCCGCCATTGACTGCCTTCGCCATCTCGGCTTCGTCCTGCAGGGCCTGCTGTCGCTCCCTCTCCTTCACCAGCTGCACACCGCAGTAGGTCACAAGTAACACAGAGAGGGTGGACAGAGGGAAACCTGGAAAACATAAAAGAGTGAGAGGGGATGAGAAGAAACAAGAGGTGAAAGGTATGACTTCACAGGAATGCAGCTGTCTTTGTGCTACGTCATGAGTCGATGTTCAGCTGCAGATAATCCTGAGAGCGACCTCTCCATTTCTCAGTGCTCGCTTGTGAGGAGCCTTTCATTCTCTTTGAAAGAAAGAAACAGAGAGAATGCTCAAGTCATATGATCCATTGAGCATGGCGCCCCTTGAGATACTATCGCTTTTGATGTCAGTCTGTGTTGTCCTCGCTTTTACTGGAAATGACAAAGAAGCCTGAGCTTTATTTTATATAATATGTCCTTGTTGTTCCCTACCTTTGAAAATCAGTCTCCTGGCCACCAGTTTGGCAAACTCCAAACTGTTGAGGGAGAGAATGTTGTAGAGGACGATGGCCCAGAAGTTGGCAGCGTTGAACACACCACGGATCCTGCGCGACATAGCCTCTCCCATAACACCCTAGAAAGAGAAGATACATTAACACATGCAGAGATCTTGTGTAAAACTAAATGTCACAAAGTAATATGTGTCTGCTTTTTCCCTTCTTTAGTGTCCTTCATTTTCCTCACCTCAATGGTAGAAAATGGTGGAATGGAGAAGAACTTAGCGACCCATAGCTCAAAGTTGAGGCCAAAGCAGTTGAAAAAGGACCAGATGTAAACCAGCTGACATGGACCCAGCCACAGGGTGGTGATTGCGAAGGTGCAGAAGGTTGCTATGAGTTCTTTGAAGATTTTATCATGATCCCCACCAATGTAGTCATAAACATACCTGCAATGTTTCAGCTCACGTTTAATATAAAATACTCTTATATAGCGGGATCTGTCATTTAAACCCATGAATTTATATCTAAACACTCACTTGCACAGCCAGTCGTTGATGCCTCTGTCAAAGTGCCTGAAACAGACGGATATTTTCCATGTGAATCTTTTTGCACGTCAACATAGAAATTACACATGGTTTTATAAAGATTGCACACGGCGAGTGGAGGTCGCACGTACGTCTCAGCGAAGACATAGAGCATTGTCAGACACTTCGGTGGCTGAGGAGGGTCCAGGTGGTCCAGTGTAGCCACAGTGTTGATGACACCAAACATCACAGCCGCTTTCACCCAGTCATACACCAGGTTGGAATAAGCCAGGCCAGCTGCAAAAACACGTATGGAAACAACATCATTTCAACTAAAGGTAAATTAATGCTGGTTAATTATACACTGAGAATAGCAGAGCCTGATTGATATATTGGACAATATATGCCTCACATCCATGTTACTATTGGTGATTATGTTTGCTGATATGAAAATCTTATTTTTAAAAAATAACCAATACAGAAAAAAAGTACTTTTCTCTGTTATGTAAAATAATATGTTCATTTACTTAATTCAAATTCTATATATTGTTGTATCTGTGTTTTCTTTTTATTTATAGTTATATATATTCAAGCTTGTGGTTAACTGTCAAATATCTAGCCTCTATTATATTTATTTATCACTTGTTTGATAATGAGATCTTTGGAATCATTGCCAATACACATTTTGACATAAACAGCTGATATATCTATGGATATTGGAAATATTTCACTCCATATAATCAGTATTGGTACAAGTAAAACTAAAACTAGTAAATACTTAATGTCAGTGATTACAATAATGATAACAAACACTGACCACAGCTACACGGATACAGCCTGTAATAAAATTGTATTTATCTATTTAAATAAAATAAACTACTCCAAAGATCTATTAACCATTGACTAGGTGCATAAAAGAGAAAATAACTTTATATGTATGAAGAGTTTTATTGTCCATCATGGTCTCACTGCTTTCTATGAGTCATTTTCACACTAAAGGAGATTCAATTCAAAGGTCAACATTCAATTGATGTCAGTCCACTGTCAGCATTTAAAAAAAGACTGATTGAAGCATCAGTGGCAGCTTCACCCATGAACTCACCCAGACACCAGTCAGACAGCTTGGAGACCAGCTTCATGTCACTGGGGATTGTCAGGATGTAAAGATAGTGGAAGAAAACGTCCACCACCAGAATAACTCCCAGGTGCAACACAGCCTTGGTGGTGATGTTCCACATCTCCCTCTCTTTGCGGGTCAACTGGGTGTTGTTCGCCTGTGGAATGAAAAACATTTAGCCATCTTTGTTTTTAAGATTTATAGGTTTGTCCCAGTGGGTTATATGTTATAGTGGGAAAGATATCTCAAAGCTAACATGTTGAAGGTTTTTCTGTTTGAACAGCAGCAGTAAAAATAGTAGTCATACTTTGTCTTTGTTTTCTGTCTCTGTCAATGGCTTTAAAATTGAGTTTCATGTATAAACACATCAGCTTACATACATATTTCCATCAGCTGTCCTAAAAGTTATTCAGCATGAGTGTTACAGGAGCTGTCTCATACAATGTGCAATCGTGGGTGATTACCTCATAACTGTTAGTCTTAGAAAGGCTGTTCACTTTTCACTTTCATTAATATGGCATTCATCACATATAGTTGAATCTTCACAGCCTCACCTGGGCATGATACCTGTCGAAAGTCATGATGGGTCCGAAGAAGAAGAAGGGGAGGTAGAAGTTGTATTTCAGCAGCTCGCAGAACGTGTAGCTGCCGTCCTTCTTATCGCAGTTCTCTAAAGCAAAGCTCATACAGCGCATGATGCTGAAGCCGCAGCCTCCATAGAACAGGATGTCTTGCAGGTCAAAGGAACCAGTCACCAAGCTTTCCTATAGGAGGAGTCAAAATTATTCTGATCATCTGTTTTTTAAATATGGAGAACAAAGCCTCTAAATTATTCACAACAAGATTACAACAATACACCTTCACCGTTAATTTAGTCTTTTATTTTGGTTTATTTTGAATATATCTTTATCAGTTCTCTTATGCCCCTTGTGTTACTGTAACATGTAGTTTTCCATCTTAACTATCAAGCTCTTTGATGCATTAATTTACCAAGATTGAATAAAACTTGAAGTTTTCTACGATTTAAATCTTAACTAACTCTGCACAGTCATTACTATCACATTGAAAAGTCTGTTTTACTGGTCTTTCTGGAGAAGCAACACCTTCTGCTCATTTAAAAATACAGAAAATCTATTTATATTGAAGAACCATGAAGTCATGGTGATTTCAAGTGGAACTGGGCGCTCCCTCAATAAATTGTATCTCCAGCTGCCACTGCTGGCTATCATTACTGGCTTTAAGATCCTTCTTCTATAAAGTTCCCATGCAGGACCATAGGACAACATCTCCTTTACTCATTCTACATGTCGTGCTCTTAAGTGCTCTTAAAGAACTAATGTAATGGATATGCATGAGAGTTTGAGTTGACTACCGCTTAGTCAGAGAATTTAGTTAGAAATTTACTATGCTACATATTTGATATGCTAGAGATTGAAGGTTTTTGCTACCTAATGCTGAAACAAGTATGATGCAGAAAACAGTCATAAGTGAATATTGTTCAGGAGAGTATTAAAGAGTGGTTCCAATTTTTTTAAACAGCATTTCCAAATAACTCTGGAACAGTAATTGACTGGTGTCTTTGTGTAAACTGGAAAAAAGATCAAATATGATAGGGTGAAATAAAAAATATAATATCCATGTTTACTTGGGATTCAATTTAATGTCAGAATTGTGCAGGATAGGTAAAAAACTAAACTCAAAACTAATATTAGATATCCATTTTTGTTAAGAATTGTTTCTTAACTGTGTGAAGGAAAAGGGGAAAGAGTTATGACTTTCTTTCTCTTTCTCTTCTGGATGAACTTGAATGATTTGATGAGCTGAGCTGTTTTTCGTTTATGTGGCTGTGTTTTTGTTGTGTTGATGTAATGTGTATGACTGTGTGTGGTGGACCCCAGGAGGAATAGCTAATGCTTATGCTGGTGCTAAAAGGGATCCTAATACAAAAAGAAAGAAAGACTGTGGTTTGAACCAGGACCCAAGCTCTCACCTGCCAGGAGTTATAAGGCTCCAACTTGATGGAGGCCAGTGTGGCGAGGCCGGCTCCCAAGCACATCCATTTCCTCTTGACCAGAGCAACACTGTAGAGGATGATGCAGTGAGACAGAACCAGAGCCATGAAGGTCCAGCCCATTGTCACCAGGACTGCCAAACCACCATACACACCAAAGATCAAGGATCTGTGCTGTGGGTAAAGAGGGGCCATCATCAGTGTGACACAGTGCCGAGATGATTGTACTGTTCATAATTAAATGCAACACACATGATGTTAGTACAACAACACTGTTCAACAACAATGGATACACTTAGGATGGAGAAACTGAATTGTGATGGGAAGAATAACAAATGCAGTGTCCACATATAAATGGTTTAAAAATGAAACACGTGACAAATGTTATAAGGTTCACAAGTTTATTAATGTTACCTTACATCCATCTATACCAATCTTCATTGTAAGCATGAAACAAGACAGAAAACATGTTTAAAACATAATAAACTGTTTTAAATATGTCACAATATACACAGGGAAAAATCACGAGTACACACAATAGACACAATCTAACTGAATGCAACTCATGCTCATGCATCAAAATTGGTAGATAAAGAGGTTGAGGTAGACATATTACAAAATACACATCAGTACAAGGTAGCTTTGCACTGACACATATAAAGTGAGCAGAGCATGAGTTAATTCACAAGTGCAAACACACTTATGAACATGAATTTACCAAAGAGACATGCAGTTATACCTGATTGTAGTCACAATGCAGCTCTATATCTCACCGACATCCACACTGACTCTTTCTGCATCTACAGCACACACATGCACGCACCTTTGGAGCTATCAGGGTGAATATCTTGGCAAAGATCACATGACCGATGAGAGCGAAAAGGATATGATTGCGGAATGTAGAGAACCACATCATCCATTCGAAGTCCGCCACATCCTGTGGGAAAGGAAGACGCCTTATTAAGACACACAAGTGCTCTGTTAAGACATTTTGCATCAGTAAAACACAATGAAATAAATAAGGGCAATGTACCATTTTCCTGCCAAAGTAATGCCATCCTGGTTTCACACTTTCTTTGAAGGCCTTTCTGTTTATATTCTCTGAAGAAAGAATGACAGAAAGAAGAAAAGAAGAAAGAATAAATGCATAATCAGCAAAGAGTTGCTGCCACTAATCTGTCATGGTCACCTCAGGAGTCATGTGGAGACACAAAATCAAAAGGCTGATGATTATTTTTATGGTTTTATTTTGAATTTCAGAAGTTGTCTTTTTTTAGCGTTTGGAACAATTATGGCTAAAATATGCTGGATTATAATGGACGGTGTTAGAGCACATTCCGTCCATTTGATAATATCAAATATTACATAATGTACTCTTTGCAGAGCTTTCTATTTTTGAAGCTGACATCTCCTTTCACACAGTCGTAATCTGGCTGTAGGGGATTAGTTAACGGCATAAACCTGAACCAAAATCTAACCCAGAAAGTATTAAAAAATAAAAATACGAATCAAAAATCGTCATGATAATAATTACAATCGTGACAATGCCACTGAGAAATTCAAAGCGCAGCAACATATGTGACTGACATCCACTCTCAGCAGCTCCTCAAGCTTTGCCTGATTACACTAATGGACATGAAAAGGGTTATCAAAATGTGAGGGTTGGTCAGGGAAAGCCTCTTACTTCTTGGAACATGGCCAGACTTCTATTACCAGTAGACAGTGCTACTGAAGCGTGCAGACCAGAGCAGTACCAATGCCCACAGCCATAAATGAACATTTCAAGACACAGAGAGGAAACAGAATCAGGACAAAATGATGACTGACATGATTCTGTCCTGGCCGATCTGACAGCACAAGCTGTGGCAGACTGTACCACTCACCAGATTACACTGAGACCATTCAGATCAGTGTGTGAAGAGGCTAGTTTGAGCATTTTAGTCTTAATTCATGCATTTTTTCAGGATGAAGTGTACCGGGATTGGTTTGGCTCTGTGTAACTTATTCTTAAACTGAAATAGTTCCCTCAGGAGAACAATTAGAAAGTAATTGGACTTTCTTTAAATTGCTTTTATTAATATTTGCTTTGCAAAGCTGGTTTGTAATTTACATTCTGTCTGTCCTTGCTGGTAATAACATTTGATTTGTGTTGATAACTCATTATTTTTTTATTTGCTTCTATTGCTGCTCATGTTTGTCTTCTGCTAATATATCTCTATATTTAGCTTTTACTTAATTGATCATCATGATAACTGGTTAAACATGTAAGTTGTTATTTGCTGTTATTTGATTGTAAGCTGCCAACTCTACTGCCTTTTCATCCCTGTGGCCAGACACCACAGATGAAAATTTCTCTCTTAGCTAACTCTGGCATTTTCATAGTGTTGTTAGCAATATGCACTGTCCCTGAAAAATGAACTTAACTAACGTTTTTTTCAGGATAGATATTTTTGGGAATTAGTTTGGCTCTGTGTAACTGATTCTTAAACAGAAATATCTCCATCAGGAGAACAATTAGAAAGTAAGTGGACCATCTTTAAATTGTCTTGATATTAATAGATACATGCAGGAATTCCTTAAGGGAGCTTTGTGTGAAATGGAGCAACTTTAAGCAGAGGACTTATTTTTTTGAATGAAGATTTTAATAAAACAATTCATGTTGTCACTTTTAAAAAAATATTCTAATTGATGGCTTTAACTGGGGTGTTTTTTAACTCGTGAAGTTGGAACAGTTTTTGAAAAATTCGCTCAAAAACTGTTTTCATAATAAGTTCAATATGAAAGGACTTCAGTGAATGTCTGTAAATCTCTTGCAGTGTTATTGATCTTTTAAAACTACACTGAAAGTGTGTAAGTGCTTCAGACAGCTCTTGACACGTCGTCGTCCACTCACCGTTCGAAGCATCAAATATCCAACTGCCTGCCCATATCAAGGCCACACCGAGCACAGCTGTGTACAGATACAGTTCATATCTGGGGAGGGCAGCCTTGATACCCATGGTGAATCTTCACACAGGGAGCCTGATGGGTTGAAAAGCAATCAGCTGCAAACAACATGAGAACTGACTGAAGGCAAAAACTAAGTGTATGAATAAAAACAGACGGATTAAGAACATTTTATCGCGGAGTTTACCAAGGTTTATTGAACCGGAGATTTTCAGATGATGTGGATTATTCTGATTACACTTGTTATGTTTTAGGCCTGATACATCAGTATGATACTATACTGAGACAGCCTTGTCTTACTGTGTTTAAAAATGAAAGATTTGTGTAACACAAAGAACAGAACACAAAATGGTATATATACATATACTGTATATACCATTTTGAGATAAATATATATATATATACATATATATTACTATACATGGTGTTTGTGTGTTTATATATAGCCTCCCTTTTACTGTAGGTTGTTGTGGGAAATCAGCAGCATATAGATTATCTTTATGATAAATGAATTACATGATAGCCCAGTCTAAAGAAAATTTAACACTAACACTTCTTGTGCCAGCACCTATCAGCACAGGTTCTTCTTGTCAGACACAGAACAAGGTGTTTTAATGAGGTGACATTTTACTATAAAGCCTTTAGGATCCATGTAGTCGGTGACTGAAATAGGACTGCAGAGCCCTGGCTCCTCGGAATCAGCACCGTCAGCTGCGCAACCCTACCTCTCCTTCCTATTATAGCTCTTTCACTTGGTGTGCTGTACAGAGCAGGGCAGCTGCAGTGCTATGTGATCTGGAGAGGTGCAGGGGGACTCACTCCACAGAATAATTAGCACTGAATGGAACTGACCAAGAATGGTGCATGGCAGTGAGAAAACAAAGATAGACAGGTTCCAATGGATTGGACACTTGTGTGTGCGTGTTAAAGTTAAAGGAGTTGGACTAACAAGTTCTTCCCATGCCAAGATGTAACCATGGCTAAGAAGGAGCTGAGCAAAGCGTTCTGAATACAAATCCAGCTTCACTGTCTCACTGCTCCGAGCTGATATAGAACTGAAAACAACGCGCGGACCTTTTTCTATACTATTAATTCTGCAATTACACTTTACCCCTATGCACAAATAGAAGACTTGCTTTCACTAACCTGGTATCCGCTTCACACTGTCACAAAGAGAGCGGCAGTGTTTACAGCCCGACTCTTCAGAATAATAAAAGACACAGGGGGCGGCGGTGGTTGCAGCAGTTTTTTTTTTGTCTAATTCATCCGTCTTGTAGGGGCTTTGCCGCTGCCTGCGATCACCAGCCTTAGCCAGTCAGGATGTTGCGGACTCAACGAAAGAAGGAGGAGGAGGGGGATATATTTATCCCTCACTACCGCACCGCAGTGAGGGGTGGTCCGTGCAGTTGAGTCCATCAGATCTTAGAGAAGCGCACAAACAGGAGCTGAGCAAGTGGATCAAAGACAACATCAAAGCGAGATACCTGTGGCAACCCCCCAATCAAAAGTATGATGGATCATACATTTGAATATAATGGTTGAACATATGGCAGAATGTACTAAATGAAGTAAATTCAAGTTATATCAAACACAACAGCCAGTGCTTAAACGTTTTGTTTTGATATTATAGTGTAATATATTGACTCTGTGGTTTGAGATTTTGTTACCAGTCATAGGCTAAGGAATTTGGTGATGCTATAAATGGTTTAAATAGAAACACATGATGAAAGTTATAAGATTCACAAGTTTATTAATGTTACCTTACCTTCATCAATACCAGTCTTCGTTGTAAGTATGAAACAAGACATAAAACATAATAAAGAGACATAATATGTCAAAAATATTCACAGGAATTAATCACAAGTATATACAATAGACACAAATGCAGTCTAACTGAATACAACTCGCCCTTGTGTTTTAAGTCCATATGTTGTAAGACAGAAGTTTAATTAGAAATATTACAAAATATATTTGTTTGGTAGAATAAAATAAAATTGCATTGAATTTAATTTAACCTTATCCACATCATAGAAGTACAAGGGAGTTTTGCATATACTACTACTATAGCCCATATAAAACGATTAGGGCCACAACCACACACATATTTATAATACATATGTGAATGAATTTACCAGAGACATGCAGTTATACATGTATGAGGCAGCTCTATGTCGGACAGCACACATGCATGCACCTTTGATGTTGTATTGTGTACTCTGTGGTATGAGAATATGTTACCATTTCATAAAGCCAGCTTAAAAATGATGTTAGTTCATTGAAAGTAGCTCTGTCACTAATAATAAAGTATATAAGTATAAGTAAAATGTATTTATGAAGCTTTTTATTTACAGACAAAAGTCACAAAGTGCTTTACATGGCCAAATAAGATAAACAGAGTCACACCACGCAAATATAAAAACAGAAAACAAAAACACTAAAAAGAAAATCTAGAATCAACTAAAGCCTGCTTAAACAAACCTTGAAGATGTAGTATGCGGCATTAAAAAAATGATTTAGTATCAGACAGTATCAACAACAAGTGGACTTGTTTCTATCATCACAAAACAATAAATAAAGTCACCTGCTGGAAAACATCCTCTCCAAAGTCCAAACGTAATCCTGACAGAAATGTTGGGACCGAATCCAAATGGCGGCGGTATATGATCCTTGAGGATGTTTCACACTTTAGACACTAGGTGGCGCTCTCGATTTTTAAAAAAGTGTGTCCACTTGAACTATTTGTGAAAGAATGCGCACGAAGGGTTTTAGATTCAATGTGAAGTATTTGCTTTGATTCTTAAACGAGGTGTTGTTTCCCCTGTGGACATTAACGCTGCAGCCTTGTGTCCGCCATATACAATAACAAAGTGTATTATGTTAAATGTGCATATTTTTTGGATTATAATAAAGAGCTATATTGGCCCAGCAGTAATTACAGAGCACCAGAAGCTGGAGCAAACCGCGTCCAGCTGCAGGGTTTGAGCAATGTGCGGCGGGTTAGAGCCGCCTGCCTGAGAGGATCCGTCACAGAAACAAACCGCCCCCTCCCACTGCGAGTGCCCCCGCTTCAGATCTGCAACTCAAATACATAAAGCCTCCATGTTGCACAGGGGACGCAGGACAAACACACAGCCACTGTTCGCGTGGAGGAGTTAGCGAACTTCAGCGTTCAACAACTTCGCGCCTGACACATGTTTGTTTTGGGACCAGAATAACATTCTCCGCAGGGCTCTCAGCGTTGTTCCAGTCACGGCCTCACATTTTTGGATTGACCCGCAGCATTCGCGGCTAACTTGCTAACCCGAGCTAGGTGCTAACTTCAGCTAGTTAGCAATTCAGAGTCGCTTGTTTTTGTTTTGTATTTTTAGCCGCACGTGTGTGTCCGCGTCGCCCACAAAATACTTCGTCTGCAGCGATGATATTTTGCGGAGAGCCGTAAATGACAGCCATTCGCCGGCCTCCATTCACCACCGTGCTAGCTGACTGGCTACCCCCGCTGCCCCAACGCTTTGCCACGGACAGTTGCCTGGGCTTTGTGGGCTAGCTGGTCATCCCCACCTTGAACAGCTAGCTAGCAATAGCTAGCGAACGAAGCCAGCGCGCTAGTACGAAATAACATTGCGGGAAACGAAACAGGAATAACCACCCGCCTAAATGGACCACATGTCCATAATAACCCAGGTCTCCAACCCGAAGGAGGAGGAAATCATATCTTTCAACCAAGAAAAAGGTAAGAAGAAGTCAGTAAACGGGAGGCAACTGATGCTAGCAGGCTAACTACTTACTACTTCTGCACTGACATTAGCGTTTGGCTGGCGCCGGTTGTCTGTGGCGGTCGACGTTTAAAAACCCGGAATCATGAGCATGGTTAGTTAATAAACTTAACAAGCAACAAGTTTATCCGAAGAAAGAGTAACGTTATGGAGCTAGCTCAATGTTTCCTGTGCTTACAGCATGAAGAGCGCTCCAGTGTCGAGTCGTGTGGTTTTATCCCATTAGCGCTGTGTGGGGTAAAAATAACATTGTTGTCAAACTGTTGTTGTCCACGTTAATCCATCTAATTCCAGTTGTTCGCCTGTTTCTATGCAACACTTTTGTGGTTTACCTTAATAACTGGACTTAATGTTATGACAGGTGATTCATTTCATGAATCACGACCATAAGAGGTCTGAGGAGGAGCAAAGTGTTGTATGAGACAAAACAGTATTGTTACAGTCTTCTTCGAAAATGAAACTGTAATCCATCAGGACTTAGTTCACCTTGCAAGTTGGTCATATTTACATGATCAGTTTATCTGTTCTTGCCTGTGTTTGTCTTCTCTCAGACAAAGACTGTTATGTTTCTATCATGATTTGAACACCTTTAACATTATTCCTTTCTCTGGTACAATGATTATTTTGAGTTGTAGTTCATAATCATCCACTTCATACTCATACTACATCTCAGGATCAAGTGTTAGTGTTGTGCCTTTATTTTCACTTCTACTCCATCTGTCATTACTCTCTATTTATCTCTCCACTCACAATTAAGTATATTCCATACTGGAGGTCAAATCCCTACTTCAAGACCATAGCAGTCGATGTTCATTCATCCATTCCCATTTGTCGGGCTGCACTGACGCTTTCCGGGTCACTCAGGCACATGCGATTTGTATCAGTATCACATCTCAAACCTCACTTGTCAGTCCATTAGTAATGTGAGAACTTAAGTCTTTCAAGCATAACAATGCATTCTCCTCTGAGGGTACAAAAGTAACCCTCCGCAAGCACCGTGGTTTCTGTGTGACATGAACATGTGTGGGTGTCATGGGAGATTATGATTGCAGTGTGTGGCAGAAAAAATATGGAGATTCCACTTTAGTCATCCACACTTTGTAAGCAGCTTCATATTATGTCTCAGCAATAACATTTGAAGATACAGGATTTAGTTTGAAAGGTGTCACATGATGTTTTTCAGTGGCTTGTTTGCATTTTATTAATCATAATTTTGTACTTAGAGTTCGGGTCATTGTGCCAGAAAATAGTGATTAAATCATTTGTTATCACTTGATATAAGTAACATTGAAATAATGAGTGGATTATGCTGTGATTTGATAGGTAAACTCATCTACTAATGGTTGGAATCACTTTTCTACATTTCTTGCAGGTTTTATTATGGCAGAATTGTTTTTGCAATCCTTTTTTCCCCCAATTTCAAATTGAATTTGTTCCTCTGGTCTTTTGGCTTTCGATTAGAGAAATTCAGCAAATATGATGCATCATGTTGGGCTTGTGATGTGTATTTGTCATTTATTTGTCAATTGGAAGATTGGCAGATAGACTGTTTTATTGAGTAAGCAAGCACACATCTATTGAAATGTTTGTTGTTTAATTGAGCCCCTGTTATGTAATGGGAGTCAAGGGTATGTTGATCTTGTGATTTTAATATAGGCCACATATCCGTAAATTACTTTGATTCCTTTATTCCGTACTTTAAAAGATAACTGAGACAATAATACAGATGATCACAACAGAACAGAAGAGTTTGAGTGTCACCACACACAAAGTCACACAGTGGGAACTTAATTTTTTGTGTTAGGCTGTTGCATGAAAACCAGACCTCATGTTGGCCTCAGTAAGAGTTGTCTGTTGCATAGGACACGTTGAGTAAGTGGACAAATTAGAGCAGCAATGTTGCTGTTTGTTCCTACCTCTTTCATTTACTCTTGAGAATGCGTCATACTTAATTCTTCCCCTGGGGCTAAGTCAAATATTACCATCATCTCAAGAACTACACAACTATATGCTTTCTTCCATTTGTTTTCAACAGCAAGATTTGAGATAACCATCCTCATATTGTGTAATTATGACCAGGAAGATTAAGTTAAGCAGGTAAATTTTAATCCACTGTGTCCCAGGGTGTACAGAATGATTCTAAACTTTCCAGAGTTTAATAGAGAGAAGGCCAATGATTTGATTACCCCTTATCAATTGCAATTCACATAACATGCAGCCCATCCCAGCAGATGACCTACAGAGGAATTTAACAGGTAGTCTTTTATTGCTTGAACAGGCTCCAAACTGTCTGGACAAAAATTGACCACCTTGCCCTATGTGCCTTTACTAGCTGTCTTGCAACATGTGCCTGCTGTTCACACAGGTTTGGCTGCCAAGCAGCAGCCTAAATATAGACTCACTGCCCTGTTGGCCAGGGCACCACTGACCTCCAGGCCAAGTATAACTACTAGCAAAGATGACAATGATCATTTCTTCATTCACTCATGCAATTAGAAAAACACATGATGGTATGATGAGTCTGTGAGATTAATGGGTGCCTCTTATACAATCCATTCACTCAATGATAAAGACTAATACAGCCATGGAATCTAACGTATTTCTGAA